ATTAATTTATACCACATGTTCAAGTTATTTTAATAGCACTTATATTACAATAAACTTGTAATATTTTATTAATTTATTCTGCGTAAACTTGAAATACATAGTAACATAACTCATATTGGAAGATTTGCTGTAGACAAACACTACTTATGTAATTTTGTATAACAATTATGTTTATTGATCTACGTTATGCAGTTATGCGGGGTATGTACACATGCATTGTATTGATTTTAAATAAATAAAAATTAAATAAAGTATAAGATCCCCTAAAAAATAAAAAATTGTAGTTAATTCATGTTGAATTAACTTTATTTGACCTGTTTAGTCGTGGGAGGTAATAAACTAACAGACATACTATCACATTTATAAGAATATAAGCAGTACTAAGAATGTATTAATGCTTTAGTTCGCTACAATAGCACTTTTTTAGTATATAGAATAAACATAAAAAAAATATTTATTTAGATAATGGTTTCTTAATTAATCAGGTTGTAAGACTTTGTTCTGAATGTCTTGTATAACTACACGGTATTGTTAATACTGTGCACATATCTGAATTACCTGCACTGCGTTAATAGAATCAGAAATACCAAAAGTAAAATGTATATAGTTACACGAAATAAGGGATCAGCGAAGCGAAAAGTTAGTATCGTAATAAGTTAGAGATAATAATGAGTACATGAAGATTTCATTAAATTACTGCATAATGTCAAGGAAAATATTACGAAAGGAAAGAGCAAGTTTGTATCTACTTAGTATAAGTTATGATATTTGTAGAACAATAACAAAAGTCCCGAAGAACTGATGTATAGAATGTAGTTACTGACTTGTGTACTTATTGACTTGTACAAGATTCATTGAAAAACAAATTATCAATCCTAACCATAGATTGTTTGATCAACACAGTATTAATATTTTACATAAAAAATCGAAAGTTAAAGCTTAAATATACATACATGCATACAAAATTATAAAACCATTAAAATGAGAAACTTTTTGCTGTAGATTGAAAAACAATTCAAATTAAAACCATATGAATATACAGATACTTCTAATATTAAAAAGACAACAGTGCCAGTATCTGTAAATAATGTAATAAGTGCAGATTATTGACTTGCCAAGCTAAAGTTATAGATTAATTATCGATTTACATAATTGTCATTGGAATTTAATTTGCATTTTATTATGCAACATGCAGTTAATACAGTGTCTCTTGAAGGATGTCCTCATTCTCTGGTCTCTTATAATTTCCTAATCATAATCGCAACCTTAAATTTGTTAATAACAGCCGTAGCAATGCATCACACGGCTGCTTTATTGGACACGGATGTTTTACTGCCGACGTCAATTTTACGATGATGGGATGGATTGCTCTCAGAAAATATAGACATTTTTATGGTCGTTTAGAGATATAAGTGATGACGCAGACGTACAGGAGCTGCCTGATATGTACTCGTACCAGTATAGCGCAAGGACGCATGTTTCTATACTCGAGTGGCAAAATGAAAATAAACCTTCACGCTGATTTATATTGGTACCACATTTTTCTATGATCTTTGTATCGGAGATATAAAATGCGTAACAATAAAATAAGTTTAGCATCTTCATAGAATTTTTATTCGAAAATAATTCATACCGAACAAACACTATATTTATTACCTCTCCCATATATAGATTCTTGTAGGTTGTAGGTAAATCTAGATAACAAGTTTGACAACTTAAGTTATTTTACGTGTTTTCTATCTATGATTTTTTCCGTTACCCGAGGTTCCGGTCGGGCCGAGGTACAGGTTACGGTGTTAGTTTTAATACTGGCTGAGATGATAAACAGTTAAACCTATGTTTGTCTCCATTAGCTATTGCGACACCATGACTATATAAACTAAGATTGGAGATTAATATTAAGATAATATTTTTAGTTTGGTATTATTGTTAAGCGGTGGCTGATTTGGCAATATCAGTAGGAAGAAAAGGCACACTTTTCCACTACTTATGTCTATCATATCATATCATATTAATTAGTTACTTTTGTTACTTTTGTTCAATCATTACATTTACGAGCTGTCGCTAGTTCGAAATGAGAAAATGCACAATTTTGTAAAATATTTGATTATATCAGACGAACAACTTTCAATGAATTAGAATGAGCCGTTGCATAATTATCAGGAATATCACATAAGTTTATTTAACAATATTAAATTTTAGCGTTGGTTCTTAATTCATTATATAGACAAAATAATCTAGTAGACTAGATAATAAAAAGAAATTCGTTCGTGACCGAATCAGGAAGTTGACTTTGAGCAAAACATATACGTAATCGTTAAATATTTAGAAATAGGTATATATAACATCTACTTTGCAATTACTACGTTATTGCAACTTATATTTGTAAATAGAGAACTATCACGGTTGAATTGAAGTATAATTATGAATGTATAGCGTAATTTTTAGTTGCTCTTATTTTTTGTACCATCGTAATTACATGATTAATAAAATCGGCGAAAAGTACAGTAAGGGTGAAAGAAACGAATAATGCACTCAAATCTTCTTGTGTTTTAAAAAATATATTTGTTTGATATTTGTCTATTTGTCTGTGCGTTTTTCATCTCAGAAACGGCTTAACCGACTTAAATGCCTTTTTTACTGATGCACTGTTTGGAGCAATAGTTAGTTATAGTTATAGTTGTAACTGTACCGATTTTATTTCATGGGGTGTTTGTTTGTAAGGTACCTACATATATGTGTTCTAACCATAGCTATTTTTTAATCCAGTTTTATTTGCAAAGAATTAATGTAACAAAACTTAACTATGTCTATAATATCTGAAATATTATTTTGTTGAAGGCCTATACCTAATAAGCTATATGAATAAGATCATACTAAACTATATTTGAATAAGCTATCTACAAGCAACAAAACACATTGTCAGAAAACAAGAGATAAGCCAAAAATCAATGAAACTCGACAACTTCTGTATAAATAAGATCTATACAGTTTGCTTTGAAGAGTTCACATATCTCTCCAACCAAAGGTTACCTGGTAGAGATTGCTTTAAGCGATAAGGCTGCCATTGTGATTCTTCTTTGTCAATGTTTTTATTTACCGTTACCACATTATTAATGGAAGTTGGCAATAATGAGTATTCATTATTATTTATCTCGTAAAATATACATTTGAAATAAATCAACTGAACAGTATATGGAGTGCAGTTTATCTCCATTGGCGGGAGCAGAAGTAATTTATATTTGTAATAAAGTTTGGTGTGTAGGGATGCCTGAATCCGAATTAAATTGGTATTTCTTTATATGTGTTGGTAATCAAAGTTAAAAGTTAAAGACTGCTAAACGAACAGACAGATGGTTAGACCGACAGACGGTAGTAATAAAAATATAAGTTCTTATGCAATTATTGATTTCGGTTCCTATTTTGAAGCGTCATTATTATCTAAATTAATTGCGCACAATTGATTAATCCCGTTTACAATTTTTTAACAACGTTAATAATTGAAATCCCTACTTCATGTAATGTTTATTAACTTGTGATATATGACGTGTATGTACTGACGTGATAACTACCTTATTTTTTATAGATACGTTTAGTGAAATTAAGAGAAATTTTAAAAGAATAAATTAACTAAAGGTGTCTGTATGATTTTCAATGTTGCAACTGTTGTATATTAGAAGTAAGTGATATAAAACGAGAGTAGATTTTTTAACCGAATGGAAGCATGGGATGACGGCGGAGAAGTAGCTGTAATACTAAATGCTAGAAAATATCTGCATATTCCCTATACGAAATACGGGAGTTTATAATAATACCTATGTATAAAAATTTTGTGAAATACACGTCAAATGTGAGGTAAGGTTCTATGCTATTTAGGTACTTCAATATGAAAATTAGTTAATTTTTCACTATAACATTAATAGAAAACGGATATAATGTGTTCGCTTCAGGTCCGGTTTTTGGTAAGTTACGTGTATATTGTAACTCAATGCCAATTACCTACATTTCAAATTAATTTAACGATATATTTAATGACCTGCTCCTTTAGGTCACAGGTCAATCTATACTCATATATAAAAAGGAATATTTAACTTTTTATTCGTTAATTTAAGTTAGTAATAAAAATATTACTAAGATTAAAAAAATAAATATTGTCAGCTTATATTTATATTATTAACGGCTTCTTATATACCTGAGTTTATGAATTAAACAACGCATAAAAGGACGTACCTCTGTGGTTCCCTCATTAGAAAAGTTTGCTGGTCAACAGGTTCTGCTTCCATTATGCTTATTTACGTATTCCGCAAGTTGTATATATGCTAATCGACTACTACTAAAACACAATAACATGTAGGCCAAATTTAATGTTTTAGAACTTGAAATGTTATAATGATCGCTGTTTAATATGAGATCAATTGAATAATAAAATTAATTGTTAAATTCTAGCCACAAAAAGAGTTACACACTTTGAATAATACATAGTTAAAACTACACGAGTGTCTAAAACGTAGTGGAAGAGGCGAATGTTGAACCAACAAAATAATTTGTGTTAAAAAATCGGTTTTTATACAATAAAATAAGACAGGTTTTGAGTCAAACATTTCGTCATACCTGGTTATATATTATTCTTATTATTTTATATTAATATACACAAGTTCGACAACTCGCTACTTTTTATTTATTACCTACTTATAAACTGAAATCATAATTTTTAGTGTCCAGTCTAACCAGCTGTAACGTCAATTTTACTTATGATAAACAAGTTTGGAATTATATTAATAATTGTTTTTTTTAGTAATGCAAAAGAATATTAACTTTTTAGCTTGTAAATAAGGATTGCTGGTCCTAAGTAATTTACATGCTAAAATACAATTAACAGTCACCAAAAAAAGCAATACAGAATGAAGAAAAAACAGTCAAAGATCGCACGTCGCAAAACACAAGCACAACGTAACACTGCAAACATTTAATTTACGCATAGTGCCAAATAGTGAACTCACCTCATTGACCCGGTGTGGAGTGTTGAGTTGTGGTTGTGATTTTAAGGGGGCGACATGCGGCGAGAATGAAAGTAGCGCTACTGTGGTGGCGCTGGCGGGCGGCAGCGGCGGACCAGCAGTCGCGTACCGTACCGTCCGTGTTGTGACTGCGCGGGGTCGCAACACACCACTATCAGTAGGAAGGCGCGAGCTGACTCCACTGACCACCGATTTGGGAATACGTCGGCGCTCACCTGAGTTGAAGTGAGGTGGATGAAGTCGTGCCGGCCGCTGTTGCGCTGTCGATCGCGGTGCGACTGAGTCGCGCGCCTACCCAACGTTCACTTTTATATGTTTCCCCTTCTTGTAGGGCGTCTTTCCCCGTGAAAGACTCGTGGATCCAGGATGGTTGTCCGTTCTGTTGACCTGTGACGCTAGAACGCGTCATCCGGCTGTTAAAACATTGTTATCTTGAAAAGTTGTCTGCGGGTCAAGTGCATATTGCGCTTAAGTAGGTTAAGCATGTAATTATCCATAACATGAGGTTTATATTTATTATTTTTTAATTTATCGCACTCATTAATATACTTATTTAGGGGTGACGGCCAATAAGATTCAATATTTGTCTGTGTACATACTAAACTATATAAGATAAGTTGACATTATCGTCTTTATCGTCTGCTCAGTATATAAATATATTTTTTGAGATGTTTAAAGAAATGTATCTATTAATTATATTAACAAATACCTTATATTATAATATTTAGTCTTATATTTATTACTATGGAAATCGATTACGTTACTTATATCAGAAAATACTGGTATATTATTATTGACATTACTGAGGTAATAATGCCTCATGATCAGCGATCCGGAATGAATTAGATACCTATAGGCAGTTTGTAAGTCTTGTTGCGTCTTTAATTACTGTTGTTATAAGTGTAGGTAGCTATAAAAATTGTTTTCATCATGCAAGCAACGTTTATTTCTTGTTAATTTGAAATATAACGCGCATTGGTTTCCCTTTATTAAATTGTTTGTTTAATAAATTATACTTTACCCTAATCTATAACAATAGATAATAGAATAAAATATAGGGTTTTGAAAATGATAGGTTTACAAATTACCAGTAACTTTTCAAATTAGATTAGCAATAACAACTATTTGTAGAAAACGATGATTTTAAAGTTCTTTGTATCGTGTAAGTTAGTTTTTCAGCAATGAGGCCGCTTTTCGTTATTTACATTCTTACAACTTGTTTTTATGTATTTAATAAATACTATGCGCGTATTATTTTATATCCAGTTATTATTTAAAAGTTTACATTTTTCAACACAGTACGAATTCTACAAAGAAAGCTGGTTTAATAGTAGGCTTTATTAATTACTCCATTTGCATAATAAACATTTTGAGACAGGTAATCCACCATCTTTACTAAGGGAAGTGGCTATTAATTCCACTTAATGAAAAACTCAACACACCTTACTTTATTATTCATAATAAAATGAAAATCAATGAAATAAAAAAAATATTAATAATTTTTTTATAATTATTTAATACATGTCTGGTCTTCGAAAAAAACTAAACACATAATTTTAAGTTAATACTTTAGCGAATGCATAACCCAAATCGGTAAAGTCATTTAGAAATTACAAAGCCAAATAAACAAATATTTTAACAATCATATAATTGTTTTGGTCTTATATTATATTTCTTGTCTGTTGGTCTTCTAATAATAGTTTTTTTTCACATCTCTTACATTTACAGGTAGCGACAAATTTCATTTGTAATAATTATCTATGTAATAACACAAGTTAATATGTTTCTTGTAATTGTATTACAAATGAAATTGGTCGCTACCTGTTGTATGAAGTCGTACCTACCATAAATATGCAATGAGAAATTATAACAAGCATCTCTAAAAACTTGTTGACATTTTGTGAAGGTGTTTTGAGAACTACTTTATATAATTACAGTTTAAGTTATTCTCATAGTTACTGCAGTATATACTTACGAGAATAGTATACCTACCTATGCAAAGAAAATTGTGATATGTTATAAAAATATATAAATAGCTCATTAGAGCCCATAGGTCCAATAAGAAACAAATTAAAAAAGACTAACTATCTAATTATGGTTTATAACTTAGTATTGTATACATTCAATTGAAAGAATTGTGTAAGATTTTTTGTTTAAATACATGTAAATTATAGTCCCTGGAGAAATGTACGAATCGTCTATAACCTTATGACCAAGATCGTCAGTGCAGAATGTCGTCTATATGGGAACCTCTGTCGCATTGGTATTTCTGCTATCAAGTTGTTTGTTTAATAGTCTGTGGTTCGGGTAATGAATGGGACAGGGCAGAGAAATTACAGGGAACGGTGACATTACCTTAGTCCTCTAGAATGGCAACACATGAGGACAGGATGTCCTATCGACAATAGCGGACCCCCTTAAGGATCAATTTTCTCTGTATATTAAATCCTACTCATACTTTTGTCCACAAATAGCATTCAAGGAAGGAAGCACAAAATAATTTTTGTTTATTTTGAGTAGTCTTGTCTCAGACAATCGAATGCAACATCTGGCAACTTAAAAAGTTACGTAACGCAGTAGTAAAAAGTAAAGATGCGAAAAACTTCTACTGCTGTGAACCGATTTCAAAATAGGAAGTCGATTGTAGTTATTTTTTAATGAAACATTTAAAAAGTTCACGATGAAAATAATTCGGAGGTATTCCTCAGAATTATTTTCTTCGCAGCTGAGTAGCTGTGCATGTAGTGGACAAGCAACAGTTACCACTTACCATTAATTCGCCGGTGGACATTTAGCTATACATGCAGTGATGTAACAAAAATTAAAAACTTACTAAAATAACTTACTGCTGATATAAATACAATATTTATTTTACAAAAGAGGGCCATTCGCTCCATTTATAGCATGGGTTCCAGGGAGTCTTTGCGAGAGTGCTTTAAGGAATCAAATATCCTCACCGTTGCTTCTCAATATATTTATGAAAACATCATGTATGCCAGGAAGAATATAGACAGTTTCAAAAGAGTTAGTGATTGCACTAATAAAAGCTTACGTAACAATAACAAACTGATTTTACCTAAATGTCGATTGGCTAAAGTTAGTAATTCGTTTTATGGCAATTGCGTAAGGTTTTACAATAAAATACCAGAGTCTGTTATAAATCTGCCAGAAAAAAGATTTAAATGTCAAATAAAACACTTCCTTTGCAAAAAAGCTTACTATAAAATTGAAGAATTCGTTAACGATAATAATGTTTTTGTAGAAAAATTTTAAATACATAGCACTGACAATATTATCTGATTACACTAATAATGAGTGTGTAGCGATTTCTATGTTGATTGTCGCATGCCTCTTACTTGTTACACTGTAATTATTTATATAAAAAAAACATCTATCAAAAAGAGCAACACACAAGTTTCTTGCTCATTCTTCTTGTGATGAATCTGCATTCCGAATGAGTGGTAGAATCAAAATATGACTATTCAAAAGTGCTTGTAATGAGTTTATTTGAATAAAGATTATTTCTATTTCTATTTCTATTACATTTATATTACCTTGTCTATTATTGTTCAATAAATTTTATATGTATCAGAATAATAGTATCACAATAAATCTCTCTTCAATGTGTGCAAAGAGGAAAGTCACAATCTCAATAGACATCCCTACCTATACGCCCATATTACCAGCCTTAATACTCATATCCGCAAGAATTCTGTTCCAATTCCACACAATTCCTGTCGTTTGATTGGCTTTAGGTTAGAAAATATATTACGTATGTGTTTTACGGAATTGCATATTTATTGACGTTCACTTTGCATAAAACGATAGAAAATTCTGTGAATTCACTTGATTCAGTATTTTTTAATAAAAGCCGTTTATAGGGGTTTACTTACTTACCTATATAACCAGGGTGGGACTTCAATTAATCTATTAACATATTGTAAAGGTACTGTGGGAAAGGGATTCTTTTGATGAGGATATACCTCATCAAAAGAATCCCTTTCCCACTCAAATTGGAATGGAAATCATGAGGGCCTGAACCGAGGCCCCTAGCCGTGCCTTCAGCTGCAGTGTTATCCATCAGAAGAATTAGAATAGTTCAAAAAAAGCAAGATTTCTTGCTTCAAAACGAAGGATGTAGGTATATCAGGTAAAAACCTTCTACTTCTCGCATGAGCCTTATAAGTATTATGGTGACCATCCTAATGTATCTAGTAAGTCAGGTATTGTATTAAAAAAAATCTATGTATACTGTATTTATCTAAGATATTTGTTATTTGTTTACCAAAAACTTTATATGTATTAATGATTTTAAGTTTAGTATTGCTTCAATGAATATTGGTTTCTGGTAGTTCACGATCAGAAACTTATTATGATTTGATCCTAAGCACGATGTAAGAGTTACGTTGATATTTTTTAGCGACAGTTCTATTGACATATATACTGAAACATAAATTAATTGTCCAGTACTATATTTTTAATTAACTGTCCACCGGGACAGTTAATTAAATCACCCAATGATTGCGGGTTCGATTCGCCTAGTATAAAAATTGTATTTGTGAGTATGATTGTTTGTATCCATCTGACTTTTTCTATGTATATTATGTATGTATTTAGCCTGCTTGTATGTCTTACACACTTTCGCACCTGGCGGTGCCCCCAGAAAGTTGTATTCGTCAGGCGATGGTCTTCAGCCGCTTCACAAGTCTGTATGTTTAGAGTTCCATTTGCACTCGCCCCTTATCGTCTGGTGAAGCTGTAAAGGCCAGTTGCTGCCAACATCATTAGAGTAGTCCGAAAAAAAGGAGTTAGTAGGTAAAGATTACAGTCAGCGTTGTTACGAGTCACCAAGTATAATATTAACAACAGTACTGTATATTCCAGACTACTTGCAGAGAAATAAGAGGAAGAAATAATAAGCACCAATAACCGAGGATAATTAGCACAACTTAATCTAGTACCAAGCTAAAAGTAAATACTGGTACATACGTAATGTGTATACAAAGACCAACACAAACAATCATAGTCGTGAATATGAATGTTTATATTAAGTATACCATTGCACCGTGAAAATCCTTCTGCCCTAACTCGCAATAAGTTTGTTATGAGTGTTATCATCTGTATAGAGTTAGTCATGCAAATAAATTGATACATTTTCTTTGCTAAAACTAAATTCTAATTTACATACTTATTTGCCACGACGTTTTCAACAACTAATAAATTAAACGAAAACCTAAATAAATAGTATGTAAGTAGTTTAAAAAATAAATTTATGTTTATTATTCATAGTAAACAATATTTCGAACGGAGAGTTGTCAAATGAAAGAAATGAAAGATTTATTGTTATATCCACTTATAAAGAAGTTTGTCCTGATTAACTGGTTCATCAAGACACAGATTAAAAGGCTGCTACAAATTTTTTTTATATCGGTTTATATTTATATGGATTATTACTATAATACTGGTGTATAAGTGCACTCTGTATTGACGCTGGCGGTGCACCAGTGAAGGATAATAGGATAAGCATGAAGTTAGGTCAGCTAGCTCGTTATGGGATTAATCAGGATATCACCTAGGATGTAGGTGGAACCTCCACGTAGGAGGACGATTTGATATGGTTCATTACTTGCAATTGGGTCACTAATCCTCATTATTAACAATTCCATATACACCTATTTTAAAGGGAGGGCTTATAAAATAGATTTCTTTGGTTTCATTTCAGTATCTATTTTATTTATAAGTTAGTTAGTAGGGAAAAATAAAGCGATTTCCATAAATTACTACAGCAACAGTAGATCAAGAGTATTTACGAGTGAAGCGGCAGCAATTAGCCATTATACAATTATGGATGAAGTTGAGTATAACAACCAGTTTAAAAAATAAATCAACACTTCTTTCCTGTTAATACCTATAATGAACGTAAATATTTGTGAGAATGATTGTCACATTTTTATGCAATGCTACTTACAGGTTCGTTTGAAATTTGGTACAGAGAGGTCATATTCCAAGCTATAACATAGGACATTGTTACCCGATTTAAAGCGAGAAACGCAACGGGATATTAATAGTCACCTATTACTAATGTTAAATTAATCTTTATACTAAATTCGAACATAAATTTTATTCAAATTTAAGAATTTCTCTACTGAGAGATGCATTTATTTTCGAAAAAGTTGAGTAACCATAAACTTATTTAAATGAGATAAGAAATAACGACGTCGATTCGATAAATAGAAAAGGGGTCAAAAAACTTACCTGACCACGTTAAAGTCGTTCTGCCAGTTTGTCTGTCTACATACGAGCTTCCAATTGATATTAGTTGAACCGTTAGGTATTCTAATCTTAAATCGCAGCTCTAGGTAAATATGTCATCTTAACGGTGCCGCTGTTGACAATAGTATCCTTTTGTTGTTATCTATCTGAAAATACACCGTAATGTGTTAGTAGGTCCCGTGCACCGAAAGTTAAGCACAAGTCAATACCTGCGAAAATAATTAATGAACTGTATTTTTTCCTTATTTTAGTTTATATTTTAGTCTGCATTTACCCATGCACCTAATTTTAGGTGATATAGTTTATATTTCTTTGTTTATTATACTACAATGAAAATAGCTTAGTCTGAAATTTCAGAGATTAATAAGCTTATACAGGTGTTATTGTGATTTTTGGCAATCATATTTATTTATTTATATTAATTAATAGTTATAATTGTTTTACAGTAATTTATATAAGTAGATATATGACGGAATATGTTTATGTACAGATATAAAAAATATTATAGTTACACAAGTGTTTAAATCTATAAAAATATAGCTGTTTAAAAGCTTTTTTTTTGAGATAATACAAACGCCTACGTCCTCTGAAGAGATAACAAGAACATACATATATCTTTTTGTCAATTTTCGTTACCATTCCTTCAGCTATTTAACTGTGAAAAGGTAACAAACAGACAAAAACACTTAGGAATATTAACGAACTATGAAAAACTATGATGATAAAGATTTTATCAATACTTGACAGATATAAATCAGGATTTTCTTAGTTTGGAACAAATTCAATTACTAAAACGGACCTAATAATTGTTTATTTATTTTTTCTCGACGTCCCATAATGTTAACACCACAGTGGTTTCATGTTTTACCTTCTTGATGCGGACAATAACATAATTCTTTTAGACGTTTTCTGGTTGGCGTGTATTTTAAATGGTGTTAAATAAGTTGGTTAGGCACCTAATGGTAACTACAATACAATACTGTGACCGTTGGACGGGAACATAATATTACTGCAACATCACATATTACAAATTACGGATTGTTGGTAATTATGATTGTGTGAGTATAATGTAGACGTAGTAAAAATGTAACATACCTCCATGTTACATTTTTACTGCGTCTACATTATGCACCAACAAAAACCCAAACTTGATAATGAATAAGATATTTCCTATCAAGTATCATTTTATTATGTAAGCATACAAAAAGGGTTATTAGGTAGATATTACACCCGTAACAGTAATTTATATTTTCATTACCAAATTCTATTCTAAATTGTCACTTCTTTCTATTGTTCTTTTCGGTTCACCTTCCTGACCCTAGTTAGTTCTTTGTATAATTATATATAATATATACCTATCTTACAACAATTTCCTAGTTTCCATTATCGTCCACACTCAGTAAATCACTACATCATCTGTATGGCACTAAAATAGACAACAAATTGAAAATATAGTTTTTTACAAAAGCAACTTCACTCTTATATTAATCTAATTTGGAATTGAACCCAAAAAAGGAATAATTTCATTTGCACAAAACATTATGCAGAAGCAATCAACGTTGTTTTATGGAAGTCGTCAATTTAATAATCTGTGATATAAACAGTGATGTACCTATTTAGGTACATATTATTGGAAAACACAGTACTTAATAAGACCATAACACATTGAATACAATAATCATCTGATTCTAAATTAATATGTTAATTTCTATTCGTATGCGTTTGCGGTGGTATGATTGTATGAAATTACATATACAATCATTTTCCCTACCACCGAAAATAAACAATAATAATTATATATAATAATTGTTTATGTATTCATAAATATAGACTACAAATTCCATCATAATATGATTATATATTGTATAAAAAAATCATTGTATGTGAAAACAATAAATTTAATAATTTATTTTAATAAATGATTGCTATTTATTGGTATGTGCTTATCATACAGTAACTATATTTTCATTATAAAAGCAGAAACTGGTTGGTGATTTTAGTGTTTTTTTACATAAACAAATTCGCAATATACATCTCGTTATAATATGATTATTTACTTTAGAATAATTGAATAATTTACTTATTAGCTAACCATTGGGATGTGCGTAAATGTATCTATTCGCTACTGTTTAGATGTAGGTAACAAATATTCTTACCTGGAAGTAAGATTGATTGAACACTTGGAAGTTCATTGCGGAAATAGTGATGCGTGCATTATTATGCGATACCCGTAACGAACAATGACCTTACACGATCAATGCTTGCTGCAATCGGTATGAACCTGTTACTGGACATGGTAGGTTCGATTTTATAATATAGTAGCATGAGATAATGTGGTCGGGAGCATATTCAGCATATTCAGTAATACATGAGTATTCAAGTAGCTTATTTTGTAACGTGTGTTTCGGTTGGAGGGTGGTCTAAAGTATTGTAATTATAGGAATACGAAGACAACATCTTAGTTTTCCGGATGGCAATGCATTTGTGGTAATACCGACGTCACAGCATGATGTGATATTCATGTTGCCACTTGCCAGCAAGGCTGCTAATAGTTGCCAATTGCCATGATGGTAAAAGCTTCCTTTAGCTCCTAATGGTAGTTTACTATAGCAGTTGCATAAAAAAATATTTACCTTGGCATTCAAAAATTATGTAGTTATTATATTATACATAACATAATACTATGTAAGGTAGACAATATATAATTATTATAAAATAACAACAATGTCATCTCCTTGTCCTACATATAAAGGAATTTTTTTTGGTGTGGTGACATCACTGTATTCAATAAAAAGTGAATAAAAGATAAATATTTTCACTTAAATATCTATTTAAGTAAATATAGATAACATTTACTAAAGGCTGTATGCTCTATCGCTTGACCATTGGCCAACTTGTTACTGTAATACCTACATAAAAAATAGTCCTCTGGTACAATAACATAAGTACTAGAGTTGTATTGTTGTCCCTATATTAACTTCTGTGTTTTTTTTATTTCACACAAGGACCACGGTAAGCAGAGCTTGTATTATGGGTATTAGACAACTGATGTAAAATACATCGCCACATTTTTCTTTGTAAATACATACATATTATAAATAGCATACACCCAGACGTGTTTGTACCATGCAAGGAATCGAGCCCACAAGCATTGGACAGAAAGCGGTATACGAAACAGCAAGACCACCGAGGTCGTCGTATATGATATGGTTATAAAATATTTCCAAGTAAACCGTCAACGTTATTGGCATAAAGTTTGGTGAACTGTCTTTCGATGACGTGGTCTTCTGTACCCCTTGTCGATGAAGTAGGAAGGTGAGAGAAGTTCCACGGGTAGTTTCCCTTTACCCCAGCAAGCTTCTTATCTACATTGGTATTTCTTGAATAGTAGGTATACCTAAACGAATTGGTAGAGATTTGGTTATTTTATTGTTTTTTTTTTGGTATTTGTAATATAAGGTAGTACTTTTTCAAATAGTTTAATATAAATCAATGCATATATAATAAAGTTTGTTTAATACGTGATAGAATTCACAACAGAAAAAATAAGTAGAAGTAATTAGGTAATAAAGTATATTGGTTTTCTCGCATCTAGTCTAGTTCTCTGAAAAGAATAGATAATTTCTCTTACTATTGTGTGATACTATTGTTATGACTAATGTGATGTGTAGCTACCTACCTACCACTATTATTATGACTACCTCCTAATAATGTTAGAGAGCCTGTAACTCAAACACAGTCAGTAATAAACCAGTACTTGTGCATAACAGTTGTTTCTATTACTACCGTGTCACCTTATACATATCAGTGGCGACGAGGACGATCTTACCTGCAATAAAAATTAAAAATGTCTTTTATAGGAAATTTACCTATCTTTGACTATAAAAACTGTGAGTGGTCTATTTTTAAAGGTAGATTGACTCAGTTTTTAAAAGTGAATAATGTGAAGGAGGACAATAAATCTGCAATACTGATTACGCATTTATCAGACAACTCATACCGTCTCGTGCGTAACCTAGCTTACCCTGAAGAATTGGAGGAACTGAGTTTTGTACAACTGGTGGTGTTACTCGACAGCCATTTTAAACCGAAACAGTGTTCATTTGCTGACAGAGCAAAATTTTACGGCGCCACAAGAAATTGCGGCGAGTCGCTGGGGGACTGGGCAGCACGACTAAGAGGATTAGCAAGTTACTGCGACTTCGGTGTTGCCCTGGACACAAACCTTACGGACCGGTTCGTCCTAGGCCTGGGGTCTGGCCCCGAGCGTGACAAGTTGTTTGAACAAAATGTTTCCGAGTTGAAGTTAGCTCGTGCTATAGAAATAGCGGAAAAGGCAGAATGTGCTAGAGATGCGAAGTTCCTAGTATCAGACTCGGTGGCTGTAAAAGAAGAAGCCATGTATAAACTATCGCACAGCTCAACAGGTAAAAAAAATGGCGGCGAAAACAGTGGCGGCAGTAAATATGGCGGCGGGATGAATTCACGAATGGCGTGTGCATCACAAGCGGGCCGCGATCAACATAAGTATTTACGCGATTTACATTGTTTAGTGTGTGGTTTAAAAAACCACAGCGAAGATAAGTGCCGTTATAAAAACTACAAGTGCCAAAAGTGCGGTAAAAAAGGGCATTTAAAAAAAATGTGTAATAAAAAAAATAAAAGTGTTTATGTAAACCAAATCGAAAACGAAAATAATGATACGGATAGTGATACCGGATGTGGCGAGTGCCATAACTTTAATTTAAGGTATGTAATTAATAATAAGCCGATCCAGATAGATTTATTATTAAGTAATAAAATGGTGACTATGGAGTTAGACTCGGGGTCGGGGTCGGGGGTATCAGTAATATCAAAAAATATGTACAACGATAAGTTTTTGATGCATAATCTAATTCATAGTAATATTAAAATGTGTTTGTATAATGGACATAAAATTGCGCCATTAGGGCATTTCGTGAGTGAGGCTACATTTAATAATGAAATAAAACCGTTAAAAATATTTGTAGTAGATTCAAACGGCCCACCCCTGCTGGGACGTGATTTTATGTCCTCTTTTGGTCTGATGTTGACTACAAATATTAATAAGTTGAGTCAGGATGATAATGTAAACACATTGCTGGAACGATATCCTAATTTGTGGCGAAATGAACTGGGTAGTTTTAATAAGTTTAGGGTTCAATTACAATTGAAGGAAAACGCCGTGCCAAAATTTTTTAAAGCTCGTACCATACCCTTTGCCCTAAAAGATAAGGTGGAAGCGGAATTAAATAGACTTGTAAAATTAGGTATATTAGTTCCAGTAAATAATTATAATTATGCAACGCCTATAGTACCGGTGTTGAAGAACGACGGTACAGTGAAAATTGCCGGTGATTACTCTATTACACTCAATAAAGATTTAATAATTGATAAATATCCTTTACCGAGGATTGAGGAGGTGTTTGCAAAACTAGGTGGGGGTGAACAATACTCCAAAATTGACCTAAAAAACGCATATAATCAATTTATCTTGTCCGACGACTCACAAGTATTAACAACCATAAATACACCGAAAGGGCTATTTAAATATACGCGTCTCGTCTACGGTCTCGCTAACGCACCTGCTGTATTCCAAAAATCAATGGAAATATTGCTGTCAGGCATAGATGGTATCAGTATATGGTTAGATGACATCTGTATAACAGCTCCCACCAGAGAAAAACATTTAGAAAGGTTAGAACAAGTGTTGAGAATATTAAACGACGCAGGGTTAAGGTTACAAAAGGACAAATGTGAATTTTTAAAAAAAAATATAACATATCTAGGTTACGTAATTGATAAAACTGGTTTACGTACAAGTCCTGAAAAAGTAAAAGCTATAATGAACGCCCCAGAACCCACTAATGTCACAGAAGTAAAAAGGTTCTTAGGTATAGTCAATTACTATAGAAATTTTATACGGAACGCGTCGAGTATAATGAGCCCACTTCACGAGTTGTTAAGAGATGGCGCTAGGTGGGAGTGGGGCGAGCGGCAGTGGCGCGCCGTGCGCCGCGTACGCGCTGAACTTGCATCGGAACGGGTGCTGGCGCACTTTGATCCCGAGGCGCGGCTTGTACTTACCGTAGACGCCGGGCCCACCGGTCTCGGGGCGGTATTATCGCAACTCGACACTGAGGGTCGGGAGCGCCCTCTGGCTTTCGGTTCCCGTTCACTCTCAAAAAACGAACGGAATTATAGCCAAATACAGAAAGAGGCCACTGCGATTATATTCGGTGTAAAACATTTTCATCAATACTTATATGGTAGAAGTGACCCGTTCATTCTTAAGACGGACCATCGGCCGCTGGTTTCGATATTTAATAGTAAAATAGGTATTCCGACCACGACAGCGTTACGTCTACAAAGATACGCGATTATCCTATCGGCATATAATTACACCGTTCAGTACATTAGCAGTGAAAAAAATGTGGTGGCGGATTATTTTTCCAGGGCGCCGGTTTCAGATGTAGTATGCAAAAGCGACAAAGAATTCGACGCATACAGTGCCATAAATTTTTTAGACGCGACCTCGTCGGCGGTGTTGTATAACGATGTGGAACAGGCAACTAAAAATGATAAAACATTACAAACGGTGATCAAATATATGAACGTCGGTTGGCCGCGAAAAATTAAATGTAAAAGTATTACTCCATATTTTCTATGTAGAACTGATTTACAATTTGAAAATGGTGTGCTATTGCGAGGTCATAAGGTGGTTATTCCCTTATTATTGCGTGAAAGAATGTTGCAGGAGTTACACAGTACACATTTAGGTATAGTGAAAATGAAATGTAATGCGCGCGGTAGAATGTGGTGGCCAGGTATAGACAGTGATATCGAACACTGGAGCGGCGCGTGCGAACAATGCATGAGTGTGCGCCCCTCACCCCCTCGCGCCCCGCCCGCGCCCTGGCCGCGGCCGCCCGCGCCCTGGTGTCGCATTCACATTGACTACCTGTTTATAGGGCAACGGGTATACCTAGTAGTAATCGACGCATTTTCTAAATGGCTTGAGTGTATTCATATGAATGCCGGCGTCAGTACTCAAGCACTCATAATAAAATTAAAACAGATTTTCTCAGTGTTCGGTATACCTAACACATTAGTTTCGGATAATGATGTTAAAATAAACTGTAAAGAATTTAAAGATTTTTGTTCCAGTAATGGTATTGAATATATTACGTCACCAATTTATCACCAATTTATCACCCATGTAGTAACGGTCAAGTGGAAAACTCTGTTCGAACTTGCAAAAAAATGTTAAAAATTATTTTAAAAGAAAATTTAAACCACTGTTATCTAAAGGAAAAATTATTGGGTTATTTGTTCGAATACAGAAATACTATACATTGTTCTACAGGTCAATCACCCGCAAAATTAATGTTTGGTAGAAATTTAAGATCAAGACTTGATTTAATACTTCCTAAAGTAAGAAAAACATCTGATAATAATAATGACGTAGTTGAAACAAACTGCAGACATTTTAAAAAGGGTGACAGGGTACTGGTACGTTGGTATAGCGCTAGGAAGGAACATTGGAAAGTAGGCGTAGTCGAAGAAATTATTGGGAATAGGTTATTTAAGATATATATTCACGATATAAATACTAAATGTATTAGACACTTGGACCAAATACTACAGTATAAAGGCAAAATAAATATGGATTGTAAAAAAAGCCGGAGAATAGTACAGCTCGTTCCGTGTACGGATACGGTGCTTCTTCATTTTCACCACCCCTCACTGTGTCACAAACACAACAGTTGGTTGATCCCAAACCTTCTGTAGTGATGAGGGAGGAAAACATCGAGGTACTGCCCTCAAATGAAGAAAATAGGGTTCTTTGTGATGATAGTGACTGTAGGGTTACGGAACGTGTGGATGAGGATTCGACGCAACAAGAATCCGCGGCTCAAATACCGCATGCCACATCTACTTTTCAACCGGTGTCTATGCAATCATCACCCGGACGTTCCAAAAGGCCCCGAAAGAAAGTAGACTATACTGTATATTTTAAGTAAGTTAGTTAAGTTGGTAAGACTAGTGTAAGAATATTATTGTAATGTAAGATGTACTAAATGAGCCGTACTTAATAAATGTAATTTTTTTCTCGTCAACAGGTTTCAAAATTAGGGTGGAAAGATGATGTGTAGCTACCTACCTACCACTATTATTATGACTACCTCCTAATAATGTTAGAGAGCCTGTAACTCAAACACAGTCAGTAATAAACCAGTACTTGTGCATAACAGTTGTTTCTATTACTACCGTGTCACCTTATACATATCATGTTATAACTTAAACCGACACTATAAATGTTTAAGTAAAATGGTTAAACAAACTTCCTACATTTAGTTGATAATATTTATCAGACGGAGTCATAATAACTTCCATAAATAATGTTTCTATTAAAAAATATAACATGTAAGTAGCGATCTATAACCTTTGCAAGGGTTATCGATACTATTATTACATTATATAAACATCCTTCCAATATGGTTATAGTAAGTGAGATCTCTAACAATCTCAATATATTTTTTGTTGTGTTTATGTATCTAATAAATTGTCCGGACAGTCTAATTTTAATTGAATTATTATTTTTATTCATGATATATTTTAAAGATTATAATATTATACAACTTATTAATATAATTCAAAAAGATGTCTCAAAAATCTGCAATAAGCAGATTTCTTTAGTTTTACTTGACAATAATTATACAGATAAAACTTTAACGTCAATATGTAGTTATAAAATGTATATATATATATGCAGCATTATTGTTAAATATTATTTGCTTTTTTCCATAACATGTAAAAACTACTGTAGCACAGTACAACATTGTAATTATTTTAAGAAACAATACAATAATTCTAAAATACCATATTATAAATATTTAATAATTCTAATTAAAATTTAATTAAGAAATATTATTATTTTCTAATATTTTATGGAATGCAATGGATCAACGCAATGTTATTATTAGTTACATGTTTTACAGTCGGCTAAAAATATGTGAGTGCATTAAAATTTACTAGTTTGCATACAATAGCCCGTCCCGTTACTTTATTATGGCTTGTCCATTACTCGTGTTAATGTCAAAGGTGTATGACCAAGCGCGTTTGGGTACATCCACATAGGGTTCCGTGATATAGCCGTTCTGAATTAAATTATAAATGTAGACGAAATTGGTAATTGCTTTAGATTGTAGTTGCAACATTAATAAAGTAATTAATCGGCTATAAATATATTATAACTAGCAGACCCGCGTAACTTCCTCTGCATTATATGTACTTACTTTAACTATTTATATAATATCTTTTTAAATTATAACCTATGTGTTATTCTGATGTATAAGCTATATATAGCTATAATGTAAAGTTCTATTAAAATCCGTTTAGTAGCTTTTGCGTGAAAGAATAACAAAAATTCAATCATACTGACAAATTTTCGCGTTTATAATTAGTAGTATTAGTAAGATATAACTGAATGGTCACAAGGTAACGGATGACCTGATGTCAAGTGACTATCGAACAGTACCGTAGATATCTCGTGTGATCATGCATTGCCATTCCATATGTCAATAATTTAACTTCAAACTTCTTACTTAGACGACCCTCTTATGGTATACCAGCAACTAACAATGTATTAGAATAATCGGGTATAAAAAAATCGACAGTGTTCCCATATCTTCAAAATTAAACCAGCAGCTAGAAAAGTTTGTACCAACAAAGAAAAATACGTGCTTACAATCTTGGCAGAAATTGCTTATGTGTAGAATTCAGGAAAGGAAAATCGGCATATTCCATTAACTTTTAGCGCAGATATTATTGCGTGAAATACACACACACATAAATACTGTGTCGTTTAACAGGTTTTTTACCTGGGAGCCTTTGTGGTTAATAAGTAAGGTACAAGAGTAGGTAATAAAAGAAGTCTTAGACAAAGCATATGATGAATGTATAAACAGACAGCAAAGCATGACATAAAAATAACAACTTGTTTATAATGATAGTCAAATAAGTAACTAACCAGTGTTGTAGGCTTCCCGTAGGAAAATAATAATAATATAATGTCTTTAAAAAAAGAGAATAAGTAGATATATATATATATACATAATTTTATATATTATAATACAATTATAATACATATAATTATGAAAAAATCGTATTAAATAATAAAGAAAAAAAATATATAAATAAAAATAAAGAAGTTTCAGTTTATGGAAAATAACAATAGAACTAAGTACGTAACTATAAAAATAATCTTAATTATTTATTTGAAATTCTTTCAATATCAAGAAATCAATCATTAACAATTTGATAACATTAAATAGCGCCTAACTCCAACAAGAATAGTTGTACCTTGTCATAGGGTTCAGTATCGTTTTATAGGGCTATGGCTAGAAATATTACGTTTTGTGGTGGTGTTTATACTACAAGCTTATATACTCATATATCTTCTTACAACTTTGTACAAGTTAGTCACAATTTATTGTTTTACAAAGTCATGTCTTCATGCTACTTTTATGTAGTTTCGGTGCATTGGCCTGGGGTATACAATATACGCCTACATGATTATTGTCTTATGGAAAGAACATACCTACCTAACTCGTTGTTTTTTATTTATTTCGACTACTTAGTATATTGAACTCACATTTCACATTCTTACCACTTCAAAATAGATAAGTAACCCAATACAACTAGTCAGGGTATTTATTATTGAAATTAAAATTATAGTGTAAACATAGAGCATCTTTAATATTTAAGATACAATATAGAGTCTAAATTATTAAATCACAGAAAGAATAGAAACAAATAAAATGACATCACAATAACTTACTTAAGACAACATTGTTTCAGAGTAAATTGACGGTGGATAAATTTTATATTTATAATAAAAATATTATGTTTTTCCTCAAAACTACATAAGTAAAGTCAAAGTATTCGTATAAAAATCTAATGGCGTATTATTTAGCTATATTCGATAATATTTCTTATACAAATTAATGAATGTAGTATCATGGTATACAATGTGGATTATCTTCTTATTAATTATAATACAATAAATAACTTTGACATTAAAAAGAATTAGCAGTGCCCTCTGTAGAAAATAAAATCAAGTAAAACCAAACAAGCAGCCAGTAAACAGCAACCAGCTTGTCTACTTTAGCTTGTAGTACTTACTACATATTTTCTAAAAAAGAATATAGATGGCGCTGTCTGTATGCTTTCGTAATATGTATAATTGTTTTAGCATTCAAGTATAAGTAGATTACTATTACCCTGTGATTATTAAAATATATAAATAAGTCCCCTCTATGGTTTTAAATATACTTACATATGTAGGAATAGATTGTTGGAATTATTCAAGTACTATTACTACTAATACTATTGATTATAATAATAATGTTGAACTAATTTATATTGCATTCATTTAAACCGTATTTAAGAATGACAGAACATTGGATTGCTTGCTAGGTACCATCTTATTGGTTCGTCTTAGTATTCATAGATGGCGCTGAATGTGTTAATAATGCGGAATCAACGCAATGAACTTTGGAGGCATTGCGTATACTTTATTATATACACAACATGAATAGGTATTCGTTCGATCCGATAGCGACCGACGACTGGCTCGGCTTTGGAGTACGAACGGACGTACTAGACGGACCAGGACGGGACGGGACGGCACTCACTATACACACGACACTTGTAGTGCAGTGTGAATAGAGTATCGAAAGCATCCGCATCGCCGAATGCAATCACAAAGATTGAACGTTTGTTCGTGAATATTCTGTGTTGGCTTAAAAGTTACACTTTGTGTTTATCAATACGAACTGTATGATTGTTTGATAATATCTGTAATTCAGGCGGCGAAACACGGTGTTTTTAGGTAAGTGATCTTAATGTTTATGATTAGTGTTTCTCTTTATCAACAACTAGGTATAATTAAACAGGTAATTGTACTAATTGTTATATTTATCTAATGTACGAAATAATATTTTAGGTGTAACTAATTGGCTTTTTGTACTGAGAAGGTATAGAGGATTTTCTGTATTATTATGCGAGTTATTTTTATTTTATTTATATTTCCGGCACGTATGTTCGAGCAAATATGTTCTATCTATTTATCGGCTTTGACTTTGCTTGCGTGAAATAAAATTCAAATTATGTATTGTTTGTTAGTCCCGAAGTCAGAAAATTCACATAATAATTAATATAAAAAAAAAAATAATAAGATTGAACATATGTAATAATAAGTATTCAAATATATATACATATATAGGATACTCAAATATCTATAATGAAAGATATGTCTAAATTTCGGAAACCGAATATTAAAGCAGATGAGACAAAAATATAAATAAGTTCTTGTGTGACTTGAATTATTAGACTTTACTGCTTATAAAGACCAGCCACCTGTACTAGCTCTCTGCTTAGAATATGTATGTTCTTCTACCTACTGGCATACATCACATACAGCAGACCATAAAACAGCGCTTATTTTCCAACATGTCTAACTTAGGTTGATTATGAAAAATTTACCCAAGGCGGGGGGGAGGGGGACCAGGGAAACAATACCCGTCCTCCCCACTTCTATCCTCAAAAATTTATGCCTTCTGTATAGGTTGATGCTTTTGCCATACATATCTGAAGGTATGTATCAAGCCCGCCCACAAAGCTATAATACAGATGTCCCCGTCCCCGGGGCTATTGCCCCAAACTTGATGCCGGGACAAAGGGGCGCCTCTAGGCTACGCCAACCTGCTCCCCTCTAGGGGGATGCGGAAGACTTATGTTGAGAGACTACGTGCTGGCAATGGTGTCACTATTAAGTCCTTTCCCCCTCCCTCAAAGTTGACTACATAAGGTGTCAGCTTCGGTATAAAAAGGCGTAAATGAATGATACGAGGGTGCACCGCCTCAATATGCCTGGGCTCAATACGCCAGCGTAAACCGCTAGCGCAGACGGGTGCACCATTCCATTATCATATATTAAAAAAAAATACGCCTGGCCAAGGAGCGCCGGGTCGTGGCCCGAACTTAACGTAACCTTGGTAGGATTTGTAGTTGACAATTGGTTTCAACTATCAGCTGCGATCAAAACCACCACTGACATGACTGACATCATGGAGACCTGAAAAACGGAGACCAAAAAAAGAGCGAGATGACATCACACGACAACTTACACAGCTCCGTCTAGTCTAGCTTGTACTATGG